TCTCGGGTTTTGAACAACCTACGAAGCATGACGGAAGCCAATAGCTTGGACGCAATCGGAAGTAGACTTATCCCTCGATAGTTGTTACAAGAACAACGTGAACCCTTTTTAAAGATAGGGACAACTATCGACTCATTCCATGACGTTGGTACACTCTCTAGTTCCCAAACCTTTGTAAACAACGTCGTCAGTTCCTCAGTCAGAAAGTCACCACCATCTTTATAAAGAACCGGAGCTAAGTCATCTGGGCCAGGTGATTTGTAACGCTTCAAGAGTTGGAGTTCCTTGCGGACTTACGCCTCATTTGGTGGATCAATCGTCACCGGCCATGGAGGGCAGGACAGTCTGACCGATGTTGTCGGAGCAGCAGGCCAGTTGAACTGCCCTTCGAAAAATTCTGCCCACCGTCCAAGACGTCGATGGATGTTAGTGATTGGCATCCCATCATCCTCGCAGATTGTTTCACTCACACCAGACTTCTTGCTGCCAGTGGCTCGGATGAGTTGGAAGAGCTTCCGGTAGTTACCAGATGCAGCTGCTGCTTCCAGCTCATTAGCACGCTCAGACCACCAGGCTTCTCGATCCTTACGCAAGCTTTGCCCAATTTCCTTACCTGAGCATTCAAGTCTCCGGCTAGTACTACAATATCTGTTGAACACACTTTCTGTAGGAGAACAGATAACTGGTGGTAAAACTCATCCTTGATTGCATCCGGGCTGCAATCTGTCGGGGTATAGGCAGAGATGACGAGAAGATATCGTTTCTCACGCCGATTTCTTCTTACTTTGATGGAACTTTCTAATCTAACAGCACATAACCGACTGTTAATGGGGATCCAATCGATTAGTGCTGCCTCAGCTTTAGTGCTTAGTGCGACACCAACGCCAGCAAGACCAGAAGAAGATGCCACAGGGTCTCCGAATAAACGCACGTAAAACAAGTTTTTGAAGCGACAGATGTAGAGCGAATTTGTAGTACTTCACCACAGCCTTGAATACGGGTCTCTAATAGACAACAAACGTCGATAATAAGACTTTCCAAAGACATAGCCAGCCCTATCTGTTGTTTGACCTGTATGAGTATGCGAACGTTGAAGGCAGCCAGTTTGAATGGTGCACGTGGTTTCAAAAAAACTGCTTCAGTATTCGTATTTGGTGGTAACATACAATTTTCAACCTGGCAGTGACTCAAGAACATTTAGATAGAACCGAGTTTACACCATAAGCGAGCTGCTGTATAAGTCGAAAAATAAGGATGCACAAAGTGGGAATAAAAGAGAGTGAATAAGTGACGTGGTAAATAATAATAATAATAATAATAATAATAATAATAATAATAATAATAATAATAATAATAATAATAATAATAATTGTCCTAAACAACACCCCCGCCACGAGAGGGCAGTGAGTAGGACTTCTCTGGCGGAGGCTGTATACGCGTGACCGTGTGAGAGTATTTCGAGAACGAGGGCGGGCCTACCCTACTCTCGGCCATACCAGGGCATTGGAGGCAGAGATCATTTACTGGTTAATGTCATAAAAATTCATAGATATTTTAAAATTATTGCCCATAATCTAACAGTTTACCTGCTTATATGCAGCAGGTTATATCTATCACACAAGGCGAACTTTTTCAAAACGCACTTCGGAATATTATTTTGTCTGGCTCTCCAAAGAATTACAGAAGTCACTGAAAAGCTCAATCTTGGAGCATCTAGTCAATTCTGAACACTCTGCTTCACCAGAAGCCTCCTTCAAAATCACACATACAGTCAGGAGAGTTGGTTCAGTAAGAATGTAAATGAAAAACTTATGTACAGCAAAGGCTATGGCTATTCACCAATTCAACCCTAACGTTTATGTACAAAAAACAGGATGTTCAGTCCTTCATTGTTTTATGATCCCAACCTCTCTATCTTTCGTAATCTATAGTGTTTTTTAATTTTGTCATTTATACTATTTTCCAATTATTTTCACAGCTAATAATTAACGAATACCACAACTTTTAATTATTCTGTAGAATAGCTATCAAGTGGATAATTATCTTCACCTTACCACTTTTTCAATGGCCAACTGTTACGTAACTCACGTTCAATACCTGATTTTCAATTCCTGACAAAGTGCCATTTCAATGAGTTTATAGGCATCAATGACAAGGTTGGACTTGATAATTCCAAATAAGTTGAGCATTAAGTAGAAAGTAATCAACAATTTTTTGTTATATCCCAGAGTAAATTTACTCTGAAGAAGTGGCTTACATTAAGTCACAAAACGTCAGAAATATAATATTTCTACTCATTGGGATATAACAAGAATTTGTTTATTTTTACACCGCTTCAAATCTTTGAAATGATTAGTATCCTTCCATCTTGCAATAAAACACTATTTTAGCAAATAAAATCAACTATAAATACAACTATACAGCCTAATGAAATCGTCGTAGAGAAAATTTTCTACGATGTATTGCCTTCTTTCTTCTTCAATGACAATTTAACTACTAATAAGTAGTATACATTTTAGATTGGCAAGAATTCGTTTGCCAGATCAAGCATTCTGTTGTTGTTGGAGTCTTCAAAACCTTTTTCATCCAAGTCCCTAGAAGTCAGGAAAACCAAGAAAAGTTTTACCCAGTCGGCGTTGAATAGAATCTTTGCAGAAATACCTAAAAAAAGTTGAATCACGTGCCATAGCTTTGATGGGATGTTGATCTATAATGCTACTATATTCCATGAATATTCGAAGCCAAAGGTCGCGTGTGGTTTTATAAATACCCACATTTTTAAGTACTTAAATTAACCTTAGAATAAAACTTCAACTCACAATTTGTGCCTTCTCTCTGATGTTTCAGTTGTCGTGTAAAAGTAGCTGGGGATATCTCAACCTTCTAAAAATACAGTTTAGGCGTGTCAATAGCAAAACTTATCATCCATGACTTAACAAGTATTTTTTCAGTAACTAATAATGAAGGATTATTAAATTATACATTTTATGTTATGTAGTGTTGGAAGAAAAAACTAAAGATGTGTTAAACCCTTATACTTTTACAGGTAGTTTTCTCTAAGCATTCTAATTATGAAACGCATCATTCCATGAAGCCTAAGATTTATTCCAACGACTATAAAATTCATAATATACGACTAATTGAAATAACGAGAGTATAAACTAACAATAAAAGGTTTATATGTAAGCCGTAAATTATTTTATCCGGTTATTACAGTTACAATATTTTTGAGCTAATGAGATTTTAACTAACTGAATAGGTGACAGTTTTGATATCAAATTCTCTTTCACTAACAAACATTCCATTCATTTTGATGCACACTCATGTAAGTCTTTAAACAAAGATGAAACAGATATCTAGTGTTCGGTGGTTTTCAGTTACTCACTGACTAGCTGATGACAGTTTATAGTGAAAACGTTTTTCAATTTAAGTTTAGTTTCAATAGTTGAAATCATGAGTCAATTGAAGTTAGACCACAATAGAAAACCTGGAAGCACTGGACGGCCGTTTCGTCCTAGTATGGGACTCAGCAGTGCGCACCCATGATCCTGCCCACCCCGCGAGATTCGAACCCAGGACCTATCTAAATTATATTATTATTATGTAGATTAACAAAAGGTTGACTGGTCTGCCTTTTCAGTCCATTTAAAGCAGTAATAATGCCAATAAAACTTTTCTGTTCAAAACTATTCATCTAGTCACTTTGAATAAACATAGAATTTGAAACTATAATAAATAAATGTAAATAACTGAATAATAGAAAAGTTATATATATATATATATATATATATATATATATATATATATATACTTAGAGAACATGATATTTAGTCCAAACGACAATATAAGAGAGTTATGTTGCTGAACAGTTTTCATTACTTTTCTTACGAAATACTGATCCGTTTACGTAACTTATATTTTAGTTTATTTTGTATTTTTTGTTTGAATCTCCATATTGATGTTTAGGACAATAATTGATCAGTCTCTTATTAACATATGTAAATCTTGTGCGGAATGCCTCAATATTACCTTAAGTCACAAGCATTATAAGCAAAAATAGATGGTGGCTAGCAGTGGAATCGAGGACGCGCGTTTCGTCCTATTTGGGGCTTGTGATCAACTCTGAATGAATATTAAATCTGGGATGCAGGTAGATCCAGTTGACGATTCACAAATACGACCGAAGGCGAGTTCTGGATTCCACTGCTAGCCACCATCCATCTTTGCTTATAATTGATGTTTTGTTTAACAAAATAAATATTTGTATCTGAGATTACGAATTATTTAAGTATGATGAAAATAGTTGACCATCTAGATTTTAGATAGTATTATCTGCCATTACCGAAAAGATTAGTTTTTGCAAAAACAAATTAATAGTAATTAGATGAAAAACGCTTTCATTGCACTTATATATGAAGGAAGAATATTTTTTCGGTCAGTTCTCTCCAGGTTCTACAGTTATATATCTAAATTAATCATCCAAAAAGTATCCAGGTTTAGGATAAAGTATATCGTTTAAGGTTTTATTATGTGAATTGAAGATTTTTAAGTAAAATAAAATTTATTTTAGATGGATTTTGTGGATATTATAGTAATTTCAATGGTTAAGATCATGAGTCAGTTGAAGCTAGACCACCATGGAAAACTTAGAAGCACTGGACGGCCGTTTCGTCCTATTGTGGGACTCCTCAGTGGTGGTCTAGTGGTTAAGTGCTCGCGCACGAAACCAGTAGGTCTTGGGTTCGAATCTCGCGGGGAGGTGCGGTCGTGGATGCATACTGCTTAGGAGTCCCACAATAGGACGAAACGACCGCCCAGTGCTTCTAGGTTTTCCATGGTGGTCTAGCTTCGACTGACTCATGATCTTAACCATTGAAATTAGAATAAAATTATTAATTTTGGAATGACTAATATGTAAACCTGAATGAGTTTATACATTACATAAAGTTGTAAGATTAATGGTCAAAATAGCTATAGCTGATTACGATCAATCTGCATACCTCTATTCCGTAAGTTGTTCGCATTTTCATTCTCAATCCTACTAATCCACACCATGGTAAACATGGATAACACGTTTTTTCATTCATTGCTTTTGTCAGTTGATTTAATAGACAGAAGTAACAACATACAGCAAAACAACCTGTAAATTTTTATTATTAAATATTACAATAAATATATATTGTGTATATAAAGCGAGAAAGAATTAATATTATTTTGTAAAATTAAAGTACCGATTTTGGATAATAGAAACGAATCTAATGTTACATGTTACTTCATAATCACAATCTAATCTTAACTGACTTTTAACACTTGGCAATAAAACATAACTCCACATAACTTTACATTATGTAGTTCTGTCGTGTGCCATTCAGTGATTCAATCAGGATATTGATCATGGATCAATAGAAATGCATTTTATATTAATGATACATAATTGTTTAAATTTCTTGTTAAGTAAATAGTCTTTATCATGTAGGCGCAATCAATGAATAACGTATCACACTAATTACTTTATTAGTTGTAGTAGGGATCGGAATAGAAGAAAATGTATCAGCAATTAAGCTACTCCATGTACGTGTTTACATAAACAAATTATGTAATCATGTTTAGATACATTGTTAATAAAAATGGCTTTCGATGAACTGACGTGATAGTTTAATATTTACCGAGTTATTTATATTGATTAATTCTAAATTAGACCTTAATGGAGTATGTGGCAAATGCTGAGAGTAAATTTGAAATGTCTCAGCCATTTTGTTAACTAATTAGTACGTAAATCGTTAAAATCGGGAATATATCATTAAACAATTCAGTGAATATAGTATTATTGCTTGACTTATTAAATTTTTAGGGTTTGTAGTAAGTTTCAATGGGTTTTTGATTACAAGCAATTAATCAGTCGAAAGACGATTACCTTCTGTTTGGGTCATTTAACAGGATATAAGTTGTTTTATCTAGGATTTCCTAAAGCATATTGTTATGTCCCGACAAGAATAATGAATGGTAACTTTTGGAATCTATTGATGGACCAATACTAAACGTATATTTCTATTGTATAGATATTAAGTAACTAAGCCATGCATACTCATATTCTTCTTATCATGAGCTTTATTTTGACCCATAAACTATTATTATACGTTTTACCATTCTTGAGTTATATGCAGCATATTAATTACTACCTCCCTCATTCACAGTCACATCTGGCTAATTCTTGTACAAATGTTATTTCATATTTTATTGATACGTTGTGGTCTGTTTGATTGGTATATAAAATCAGTATGTTTGAAATATAATGATTCATATTGTAGAGGCTGAGACTGGTGTTCTGGACTTAACTGGTTGGGCTAGGCGGAAAGCAGGACCAATCAGAACTCTAGGCTGCTCGCACGTGTTTTAAGCGTCCTTGGTTTGATCGACAATTCACTGCCCTCTAATCGGCAGTCACAAGTTATAACACATATAATGTGTTTATTCACGAACTACATAGAAAAGTAGACAATCTGAGATCATATTCTGAGACCCTCTGTCAATTAAATCTTTCATTCTTTCAAACAACTTACATCTAACAAAGATAGTTATTATTTAGTGAGCTAGTAATTATATTATTTGGTCATGAGTTAATGGTTATCAAAAGTAAAAGAAACAGACTTTTATTACATTAAGGTTCGTATCATGTAATGAACCTACAAATCGAATATTGTTCATAAAACAATTAATGATCAGAATGACTTTTGTGGAGACTTTAAAAATTTCACTGGTTGAAATCATGAGTCAATTGAAGCTAGACCACCATGGAAAACCTGGAAGAACTGGACGGCCGTTTCGTCCTATTGTGGGGCTCCTCAGCAGTGCGCATCCACGATCCCGCCCCCCCCCGCGAGATTTGAACCCAGGATCTATCAGTCTCGCGCCAGGCGCTTAACCAACTAGACCAGAGTGATAGGTCCTGGGTTAGAATCTCGCGGGGGGCGGGATCGTGGATGCGCACTGCTGAGTTCAGTTAATAATCGTTCAATTAACTAATACCTTTTGTAAATTATGCATAGATCATTATCAGAATTAGTCAATTATTATTATTTAGCAAATTAAATTATCAAATCATTTATAAAAATCACAGACGCAACAATTTGGTCATCTTATTTTTTCTTCAAAATTCCATTGATTTCACATCTAATACTAAGTGTACTAATCACTAATATTGCTGATGGATTCTTATCTATCAAAAGAAATCAGACCTGGCAGTCGAAACCCAACATGTTCAATGTTTACATCTCTAAATGTGACACTAGAGAATCTAGGTTTGAAACTTACAAGTGGATCAACTTCCTGTAAATTGAAAATATTCTTAACTGATAAGTGTTGCCAGACTATTTCTAATTAATTGAAATAAAAACAAAGCTATTATCACTTTAGTCATGTATTAGAACTAGTGTAGAACGGCATAATTTTCTATTCTAACTCCCTGATTTAAATACACATGTGTCATGAGATGTTTACATCCGATAGAATATAAATCTATTTTTATATTATTGCATCAGAAGCTAATCATCAGAATTAAAACATGAATGAAAATTTTAGTTAAACTAACCCCAATCCCTATTTTTACAACAATAACAAATCCCACTAGTCCATTGTCGATGAGGTGGAGGTACCAGAGTGAGATTACGTGGTGGTACTGATTTTCCAGGTTGATCAAGTATAGTTCCAACTTCTTTTTTAGATTGCATCTTTATTATATTCCAGTAGGACTATATTTAATGTTCGATTAAGCGTCTTTATTATGAAAACTGAACAGAATCAATAATGTAAAAACTTATCGTTAGAAAATTTAAAAACAAACCTGATATCACTCGATTTGGTAAATAATCTGAATGGGTTTGTTTTAGAATAGAATAAACAGACAATTATACAAACATAACACATAACTGTCGAGACAAAAAATGAGGGTGATTAAATGAGCAAGTTAATAAAGTTAGATCATTTGTAAAATTTAACTGATAAAATTAATTGATTTGACAGAGAAATCACTTTGTAATTTTAACTAAACTTGTCAATGAAATAACTACAAGTTCATTATTGTAACTGGATTAAAACACCATCAATTTATAAGATTATAAAGTTTATCATAGAAAAGAAGAATCTAAAAAATGAGCTCACCTGCTTTTTAATTGTAACTTAACTTGTTTAATCAATGTTACATTATTAAAAATTAAATACAGAGAAGTATAAATCATAACTCACTATCGAAACATTTATGCCATCATGACATCATATTGAAATAAGACTAAATCGAAATTAATGTGAAGTAATATAAAGTCATTATAGAGCAACCGGGAATATGCATTATATCGTAAAGTTTAAACGCCTGTATTCAAACCTCTTCTGTATAATGAACTTGATATAATTAACTACGCTAATTTCGTGAAATCAACACATATGTGGAAACACCGAAGTTCTCTTAAAAATATGCTTCCTGGATTCTAGCTCTCAAGAATCATTTTATGGCTTCTCATCAATGACTAATCATTGTCTTTATATATATGTGGGTAATAGAAATATAATCGGAAAGTAGCCTGAACGAACAATTGAAGCTGACATACATTCGCTTCGTCATTTCCAGAGTATAATCATCATAGTTAAAAAATTTGACATATAAAATGCACATTTTATTGGGTTAACTTACATTTGTTGGAAAGCGATTTCATATATGAACTTCAGAAAGGCAAAAGTCACTTAATCCACTCAAATTCAGAATCAGTGTTATGAATGATACTGAACGAAGGGATTCTCTGTTAGAATAAACTAGCGGAAAAGATATTTTTAACTCTTATTATGAAGCAAGTAAAAGTTAGTTTTAGTGATAAATAATGGATGTCAGTATCTCAATGAAAAAATCTTCATGAGTTCGATACGCCTTAGATAGTGTCTACATTTAAATGGTCAATTAATGAAAATGCTCTCCTAATTTTGATTTAGAATGTAAGAAAACTATAGTGTTGTTTGTTGACAAAATAAAAGTATCATGAAGCGATTAGATTTATAACCAATATATTGGAATTAACGTTTACTGTGTATATTTTAGATCTTAGAATATCAGGAGTTTTCCGATAACCAAGGTAGTGAGTTGAATCAATTTACAGATAGTTGTTATGCATACATTTGAAGCAATCTAAATCATTATCCGTGTGTTTGAAATCCAAGCGTTCGTTAGTGAGGAATTAATAATTAATACAGACGATTACGTGAGCGCGTAAGAAACATTAATTAGAAAATGACGATTGGTGATTACGGTAAACTGGTATCATATATCTTAATAAATACATATATTCATCGACTATGAATAGAACACATCGTTCCGAACAATAACCAAATTAATTACTGATATGGTTTTGTGGGAATTTTCGTGTAACCTGAACACCACGTCTCACTAAAAATTGATTTCATTGTTAACCAGAAAGTAATAAACAGTGGTTTCAATCCAGTGCCACAAACATACACTCACGTTTCTATACTCACTGGAACATGGGATGCTCAGAGTTCATAGCGAACAAGGCACCTCTGAGACGGACAACAGAATATGGATGGCATCAGATGATTATTATGACATCAAAATCTAGTTGAAGTCGGAAATGTTGACCTTAGGATCACAACTGTTTGCCTCAACGAGATAGTGAGACTTCACTGTAGACAGTCAGATTTTCTGTGTGGTCATGAGTGAGCACTAATTAAGAATGTCGGATCAGAACAAAGTATCTAGCCAGTCATTCATTTGGTGTCATTATATTATAACAACTGTCCTCATATGAAATAAATTCCCACAAACCAACTAACCAAAAATTGATTGCCGAACCATGTGTTAGAATGATTTACATGGATAAGTATGACATACATAATTTTCCTTGAATCTTCAGTACTATGATATCGTTTTCAATTACTGAAGTAAATGTTAATCCCAAAATATTTACTTGTCATTTTGATTGAGTTATTGACTGATAAAACACTGCAGTGACTGGTGAGAGGTTGGCGAATTGATAGTGTTTTCTGCAAGGTCAGGTTTTTAGTTTCGACTACATAGATATACGTGGCCCTTGTATTAGGAAGTATGGGGAATGCTTTTTTTAGTAACTTCGTGCCTGATGTGATTTCTTTGAATATTTAGTTGACTAAATGCAACTTGAATTCCAGTGCCTACGAAGACTGCTAGTGACTTAATGATCATATGTAAAATAATTAAACACTTTTATTTTCACGGTTTTGTATTTTCTCGGTTTTAGCATTCAGAACTAAAGTTGACTGGTTAATAGTAACTTCATTCCTGATGAACAATTTAGTGGTTATCTGAACTCAATAGATTAGCTGACGTTTGAAGTGAAAGATATTGATTACCGGTCCAAGTGTGAACACGAACTCTAACCCACGTTTATCTATCTGATGAGTCACGAAGCATCGATTGTGCTTGACTATTGTTAGCCACAATCCTAAGATTTGCTGAACCATTTTTCTTCTTCTTCTTTACAAGACATTTCACGCCGAACAGGAGAGATTGTTTTTATTGTACCTCATATTGATAATAAGTAGTTCGTTTCATAATTCCCTTATACCACAAATATTAAGCTTTACTGGGAGAAAGTGGTGTTTTGGTACATAGTTTCCTGAATGGCGTAATTTCGCAAATATTATTTGATTCGGTAGCAAGAGAATGCTGAAGATGACTTGGAACGCTGTATATATGAGACAAATATTCTTAGTCCACTAAAACCATGGTCAACTGGTATGTTTCAGAAAATACTAGTAAAAATAAATTTATTTGAGAAAATCGAACTTCTTATCCTAACAGCTGTTCAAAGTTTATATCCAACAGTAGATCATTTACAATCAAACTCCGGATTCTTCTTTAGCGTCCACGTCTTGGACTTCGCCTACTGTTTGGTCTCCTCTTGCCTATCAATGAAAGAAAATATTGTTTAGTAGGAATACTAGTAGATTTTGTACTGTGCGCAAACACAAAAAGTGGCAATGTTTTCTTTTATGCTGCTGAGTTAAAAAACACCAAGGATCTCTTAGTTCAAATGTGCACTGTGATTTAGATTTTGTCACGTTGATGACTGCTTTAGTTAACTTGCTAACTCTTGTTCACTGATTGTCTCTATCCTGATTTGACACATTGGACAAACAATTTTTAATTAAATTCTTTTTAAAATACAACACGTCACAGTGAACTAACTTTCCCTCTTGTTTATATGCGTAGGACAGTTTCATAGTCAGACAATATCGTTATTTATGGTTTGGAGAACAGCGTCAAAATTACTAACATCACATATATAGTCGATGTTCAAGAATTTCTGAATAAAATAGGTGGTAAGTTATGTGACAGATTTCTAAAAGTAGATTACATAGACTTAACAAATCTAATAAATTCACACTTATTATTACGTACAAATCAGGTAAGAACCCGTACTTCATAACTTCTCATCTCTCAATTGCTGAGAATCTCAATTCATGTAGTATGCTTATTAAACTTGATATTGTGAGGAAGAGATTTCATTTCCTATCACAGAGTTTATATCGATAATCTCAGATGAACTAACGAATAAGGATTTCATTGAGATAGAACTGTCTTGGTCCTTTGTAATAATGATATGTTAATCGATTCAAATATTATGTGAAATATTTGTCTATGTCGTCTGGTAAAAAAGTTTACCGTGTAAGTGTTCATATAACAAATTTATGTTTACCTAGCTAGTGTTACAATATACTCTGACGTGTTAATTAATACATAATTAACAAAATACGTGTTAAAAACTACAATAATAGGTCGGTATGAAGAAACTAACCGCAACAGCAACAACATGTGTCATTACGGCGTGGTGATTGCGACAGCCCTCGGTTTGGGTGTGGGGATGCACCCCTACTGGTAGGCGTTCCACTCCGACTAGGATTTCCTGGTTGCTGTCGAATAACTTGGTCTTTCTGTGGCATATTATAAAAGTTTACTTTTATATAAACTTTTATATACTTGGACGTCGAGTGCACGAACTAATTATCCAATCAAAGATGTTTCCAACCAATTTATCAAGCTGGGCGATGTACTTTACAAGTATTCATTTATTTGTGAACAAATTTCCATAAAATTGTTAGCTTTTGTCCTTGATAGGTTACTTAATGACCAAAACTCTTGGAGTACCAATTGTAAGTAAATCCGATCATATGACAACATCATTAGTGCAGGTGAACCATCCAGGAAAACAACTACTTTATATAGTAACATTGCCTTGATTATTTCAATTCAAAAAGCAAATAAATAGGTCAAGAAAAACCCATAAATAAAGCCGTGTTTTCTCAAATATATCTACTTAAAAAATCTAGATGGAGTGGTGGATTTATGGTTAAAGAATCCGGATTTCAACCATTAGGTGACAGGTTAGGACTCCACTTCACCTACTTCAGTCTGAGATATCGAGTAGTGGTCGAGCTCCGTAGCTTCCCGGAAACCCAAACCAGTTAGCAAGATGAATTTAAGAGATATTTTGGTCGAGTAAGTGAACTGAAGTCAATCATAAATAGAAGTAGGATAAACAAAAGCAGTGATAGGAACTACAAGAGAGTTGTACTGATTAGTCAGAGTAATCAGTTAAATGAAGGAGTTAAATTTCTGTCAATTAGGAAGAGGGAGATCGGTGAGTCTTTCGTTAACACACCTGAACAAACGTTTTCAGAGTTTGTTACTATTAGGAATCCATAGAAAGTTATGTCACTTTCAGTTACAAATCATTGCCTTTGCTTGAGAGAAACAACACGCAGACCCTAAATTTACATCTCACATGTTGATATTTGCTTTACTACCGTCGACTACTTTACGTTTTAATTTCGCCTTGTTCATTGTTTCCAAAGGTCGCGTAAAAAAATGTGTGTGCAGAAGTAATATGGGTATCATTGACAAGGTTTGACTTGATAATTTCAAATAAATTGAGCATTGGGTAGATTGTTGATATCATAAACAATGGTATGTTTGTCATGCCCCAGTGAGTAGAAAATTAACTTTCCGACGCTTCATGGCTCGGTATAAGCCACATCTTCTGAGAACATAAATAAACAGATTAAATGAACATAAATTTAAGTAGTACAAAGGGATTGAGAGAAAATACTTAGTTCAATCAAAAACAGGTCTGGTCAAGTCAATGTCATATCAATGCAGTCTGGGTGATTTTTTTTGGGACATGCCTGTCTGTTTGTGTTAGGGTGGGTGTGAAAGACATGTCATTTGCGTTGTGCATGAATAATTTACAGTAAAAATGCCTTATTTAGAGGAATCGATAAGTCATTAGCAAAAGACCAGTTTTCTTTCTATTCCTCGTATGTATCAAGACGAAAGTCAAATAAAAATGGAAAAAGCCATACAATTAGTTCACTGTTTCTATAGTATTAAATGCAAAACCTATCAAACTACTGAAGCTTCATGAAATTCGAGTAGCTTGAGTTTGGTTATTCTTTGAGTACATTGAGTGGTTTCAAGGTGTTTACCTAATGTCTCATGTCAATCGGATCCCGATAAATCTCACTACTGAATGCCTATCTCATGTTTCCTGGAACATGGTAGAAGAGCCTAAGTTAGCTCCAACCTTTTACTCTGCTAATGAAACTGCTGTAGTAAATAAGAACTTAATGAAATAAAATAAATTTCTGCTGTCTTACTAAAACCGTTATTTTCGCTCATTTCGTCATGGTAAGGTTGTTGATTAATAGTACGTAGCTCAGTACATAAAACTTAATAACTCAGAGTATCATTTATAAAGTCATGTTTTGAAAGGGCTTAAACGTATTTA